TAGTACACCTTCAAGCAAAACACTAAAGGTTTTTTTTTTTCTCTTTTTTCTAATGGTTTGCTCTCTTTTTTCCTCTTTTTTATTCTCTTTCACGAGCTGTTATTCTAGTTCCCTTTCATGCAAAGCATCCCCTCGATCTTGAAGAAGATGAAAAATATCTTACAAATATTAAATTATGGCTATAGAATCAAAACATCATCCAAGGGGCAAGATTTTTCCCTTGTTTTTAATCTAAAAAGAAAACTTTAGCTATTAGATAAAAATTCCTCATGAGATCCAAAGGTCTACAATATTCATTGCAAAGGTTGGATTTTTACAACCATTAAAACAAGTTAAAAGATAATTTTGTCTTCAGTATAAAGTTTTTGGTATTTAGGTTCTCTTCTTGGAAATCAATGTTTCTGTACTCAATTTTTTTTCTTTTAAAGCATCAACAATCATAAATTATTATAAAATTAAGATCTGAAAATTTTCATGAAAATCCAACATCTAAAAGGTCAAATTACGAAATTATCCCTAATTGGTATTTTGATAATTTCACCCCTATCGAGGTACTGCTATAATTTTGAGTGCATAAAAAATCATCAAATATTATAAGATCATAATCTAAAAAGTTTCGTGAAAAAAAAACCTTGAAAAGATCAAATTACAAATTTACCCTTAATGAGTATTTTGATAATTTCACACCTCTCGAGATGCAATCAAAATTTTAAAAATTATCAAATAATATCAAACTATGATCTAGAACATTTTACAAGATGCCAACTTTAAGAAGGTTAAATTACAAAATATTCTTAAAAGTATTTTTATAATTTTACCCCTCCCAAAGAGTGATATGAATTTTTAATGCATAAAAAATCATAAAAAAATTTTATTATGATTTAAAAGTTTTCACAAAAATTCAACTTCGAGAAGGCCAAATAACAAAATACCTCTGCGAGCATTTCAGTACTCTTACACTTCTTAAAGTAAAATCAAACTCTTTATAGCTTTAAAAATCACAAAGTTTCATTTTTTAAATCACATTGATTTCAATTTGGTTGTGAATTTGAATGGTTAACCCAAGTTTTATCCATTTTGATCAATTTTGACTTTATTTGACTAATTTTGACTTTGTCGACCAAGTTTGACCAAATTTTACGAAAATTAACTTTGAGACATTTTGGTCAAATTGATTCAAATTTCAACTTTAGAAACTTGTCAAAATTAAAGAAATGTTGGATTTGAACTAGGTTGAATTTTATAAACTTCACAAATAGTTGAAATTTTGCTTAAACAAAATTAGGTGTCCAAGTGTTAACCATAACAAGTTTCAAAATGTAGCTAGCAATTGTCACAGCTTCAAATAAAAAGACAATGGAGATGCTAAAAGAAATTATGGCCCTAAAAAAGATTTTGGGAGTGTTGGTGTGATCCATTACAACTTATTTTGTGGTGTCCCACCTTTTTGGATAGAAATTGAAAAATAGTTGCACAAGCAATTTTTCACTTTATTATAGATTTTAAAAGGGATCTTTAGCCTAAAGTTTCTAGTAATAAAAAAGATCTTGTAAGGGAGATGCTCTATTTTGATCCTAAGTCGCAACTTATAGCCTAAAAAGTACTAGATCATTCTTGGTTACAAAATACAAAGAAGGCTCTAAATATTGTTTTGGGTGAAATTGTGAAGATAAGGCTTAATCAATTTTGTATAATGAACAAACTTAATAAAGAAGCTCTCTAGGAAATACCAGAGCATTTTTGGGTAGAAAAGTTTGCAAGTGTATAAAAAGGGATTCTAGTTGATGGATACTAGTAATAAAGATAGGATTGATATTGATGAGCTTAGGGTAGGATTACATAAACTTAGCCATAAGATTCTTAATGTAGAAGTTTCTACTTTTAACATGGTTGGCCGCCTTGTTTGTAAGTCTACAAATTTTGTAGGAAAAGAAACAAAATTGTCAATTTTAACTAAAAGAATTGGTCTAGTAATGCATGGCATCAACTTACAACCTCCAGTTACATCCTCATAAGCACAGCGTTTATGTCAAATTTAAGCATGTCTTGCAACTAAAAAAGCATTTATGTAGTCTAATAGGATAAACTCAATCCCTTATGGTTAATGAAGATGATACATGGGAGATCTAGATTGAATTGAAGAAGTGTCTGCATTTCATCTTTGAGGACAACGATCATTCTTCAAGGGAGAAGTATTGTTACATGCCTGATTTATTAGACTTTAATTACTATTAGCCTTGATGCTTTATAATTGCCTTTGGTTTGTTTATTGTTATAGGGTATAGGCCTTTTGCTTTTTGTTTCATTTTTGTATGAATATTACAGTTGTAATGAAAAAGAAGATGTTCGAAAGGTGACGAATCTAAAAGTTTTGAAAATAGCTGGAATGTGGTTAGTCAACATAAAAAAGAGCTAAAGGAATATTGTAGTATTCATTATGTTATGAGAAATGCAATTATCTTCCTCTCTCAAAACATTTTTTGTTTCTTCTTTCTATTATGCTATACTTCTTCTTTTTCTTTAAGTTTTTCCTTCTTTCTTCCTCACTAGCTTTAATTTCTATTAATTAAATTTTAGGTTCGTAACAAAAAAGTACCAATAAAAATAACTAAGGTAAAATGAGATATCAACATAAAAAAACTTAAACAAAGAGCAGAAAGCATAAGGAATATTAAAAAGATCTGAAAGCTAAAAAATGGCAAAATGTTTTAAAGATGAAATGTCTAGGTATTTATAGGCAAAGACCAAAATCAATGCATGGCCCGAATTAAGCCACGTCATCATTCCGAAATATGAAGATGATTGTTTGGCTTTTTTTGCCATAAATGCATTTTGCCACAAAAAAATTTTAAAATTATCTATAAAAAATTCTTCTCTCTTCATTAAATGTAAGTCAAACAGTTACCTATTTATTACAAGTCATGCCTTGCATCAACCTAAGCCAAAAACGTACATTCTAACATGCAAAACCTAAAATTTGCAAGTATGAGCTCATACATGTTATTTAACTCATCTATCAACCTAACAAGTCAGTATACAAAAAAATCTAAAATCCTCACTGCGAATGCAACATCTTATCCAGATCAATCTAACACATCAGACCATTTAATGAAAGGACAAAATGATAAGGGCATTTGTGGTATGAAAGATAAATCTATATTTTTACCATAGAAATCAAATGGACAAAATCTTTTGAGCATTTTAAACATTTGAGCCGAGTTGATATAACGAGTCAACCTAATTTATCGAAGCTAACCTCAACAACATTAGTATAAAATCCCACCTGATAAGAGCATAACTATGATGCTTATATGTTTCCTAAACATTGAGTCATCCCACCATGTTGGCACCGTCGAGCCATGTTGGCTTAGCACCAATTTTTGCAAAGTGGGTTATTTTGATCCGATCACACCTCCCTACAAGTATAAATACCTTCTTTCCATTTCAGGTAAAAGGATTTAACTTTTTTCAATCTTTTTCTTATCTTTTTTTTTTATTTTTTCTCTCTTCTGAGTACTAATTTAAGTGTCAAAATACAATAATTGAAAACAACTCTGACTTTTGCTTTTGACCAACTTTTGACTTTGTGATTTCAAATTTTTGTTCTTCGAATCAAGCTTCACATAAACAAGAACCATTGCAAAACTTAAAAATTGAAAGTAAATGGGTTGTAAACTGAATTGAGAAAAAATAACAAAATTATATAGATTCACCGACCCACTCAAACGGTGCCATAAAGGCCATGAATCACCAACGTTACTACTTGTCTTCTTAACGACATCCATTCTGCCCAATTTTAGAGACAAAATTTTACATAGGCTAATCTTTTTAAGTGTTTGCACCAATGAGGTTAAAAGCCTTCAACTTTTGGCCTGTGGACTTGCTCACAAGGAAAACAACACCTCAGATGGTATGTAATAGATATTACTATAATTTTCAAAGCCTTATAGATGTTAATTTCTTACACTTAATTTTTCCTCAACAAGTTTTAAGTTGCATAACATATAAATCATGGCCCATTAATAGCTTTTTAAATTTTTATCATTTTTTTAGGAATTTATTTTTCAACTATCTTTAAAAATTAATGTATAAAATTAAATCGTTAGACACATAATACATATTACTCAACAAAATATCTATATTTGCCAATAAATATTCAAAATATCCATCAAAATAATATATGACAATTAACAAATATTAAAATTACATATTTATTTTTAAAATAAAAGTAAAAATCATATTAATATTTTATTTGTCATTTTCACTGTATAATGATTCATTTTTATAATGTGTTTTATCTTTTAAGTAAATTTATTAATACAATTTAATTTCTATAAACTACTAACATAAAATATCAAAAGGACAAAAAACGTTCATTATATGATAAGAGTAACTTAAAATATAACTAAAAACCAACAAAGTTCATTTATAATATTTATAATCCAACACGACACATTATTACTTGTGTAATGTGCCATGTCAACCCATATGCCACATGCTGCAATTGGCCCTTGATGGGTCATGCTATGCCATGCCAGTTCAATGAACTAAAAATCTCTAGTCTAACACAACACAAATATATGAATCATACTTGGGACGACTCATAATTATAACAATGAGTTATGCCAAACACGAACCATACCATGCTGAATCATGTCATGTTATGGGTTACCCAACCCATTTGACACTAGTACTTGCATGCTCAAGGTCTCTCCTAAAATGAATGAATTTTTTATCAACAAATAGAAGCACAAGATAAGAATGCAATAGTAAAGCCTCATAACTTACCTTTTGGGAGTCCTATTCTATGCATAGAAACTGTTTGACTATCCCTTGGCCCATAAGTTCTGTCCCTTGACCCGTAAGTCCTAACACAAGGTTAAAATTCTAGCTCTTCTAAAATGTTATCTCACTCATGACTCGAGCCCACAGAAGGTGGCCTTTTTCGCCTTCCATCTAATCTATGTAGGAAAAGCCCAAAGTCAATCCTAGAGAGCAGTAATATTGGATTTTACGATCCAAACAACCTATAAAGAACTTTTCTTCTCTACTTATTTCTCTTCCTAATTAAGTTCTGTGCTACAACAATACCAAACAAAGACACTGATTAAAAATGCTTAAAGCCTTAAACCGTTTAGCAATCATCAATTCTCAAGTCCAATGGAATCTACGACTAAATTTCACAGGAAAGGTGCAACTGTCTCATAACTTTTACTTACAGCTTGGGCATGAGCTTTATTTATATAGCCCTATCTCCTTGCCCCTCAGTTTCTCTTGCCCTTATGGAGAATTTTTTGTACCTGCTTTTTTCTATGTAAATGAAACAAATGGCTTACCATAATAAATAAAAATAAATGAAACAGACAGCTTATAAATTGCATGATATAAATACAAAATACATCCTAGAATCCTTCTCTGGCGGCTCGTTCCAGACATCATTCTAAGAGGGGTTCCATCAGTGGTTTAGAAAATGGGGTGTGGAGTTCCATGGTGCTAGTAACAGCCACTCCAACAAGTGAACAAAACGCTGGAACGAGTCCTAAACCATATCTTGTAACTGAAAAATAGACATCTGTTGAATAGTTTCCTGCAACTCTAGGTGAGCTACCTGCATCAAAATTTACAGTTCAAAATAGAATTTCTGCCTGTGGACCAATGCTAGCATACGAGGAAGAATGAGTGAATAACTAAAAAATTTTCCAGAGTTATAGAAGACAAAAATGTCTGGAATAAGATTGACTAGCAGGTTATGGATGATAACCTCTAAAAACTGCAACTTTTAGAGATGTATGCAAGTATAGGAAGGAACCAAAACAAGTTGGCGCCTATGAAATGTTCAAACTCTGTTTCACAATACCATCAGATGAAGTCTACAAATTGGATAACCCAAAATCATCATAACAGTTCATGCACATCAAACAAGACACCATTGGCCATGTGTCACAAGGCAGGTTGAAATTGCAATATACATTGTACATGAGGTTTCAAATTCAGATGAAAAATAATGCAATCAAATGCGAAAATTATATGCAAATCTCAAAGCAAGCAGTGTAGCTACAAGCTTAGAATAGCTTGATGTTGGTAATTAAGATTATACCATTCACACATTATGAAGGATTCTTGAAATATCATCTTCAGCTCTAAAAGAGGGAGACAGTTATAAGGCAGTATGTCGAATCGCTCTTTTTCCATTGTTTTTTACCAACAAATGGGGAGGGAGAAAAAGTGGAATGACGAGTGGTGGAACAAGCACTCAAATATGACAGAAAACTTACTTTGATAGGATTGAAGAACAAATAGGGCAAGCCCACATGAGATTTTGTCCAAGAAGCTCAAGGATCCACAAACAAATGCACAACCGTTAAGATCTTCACCAATTAGAATACTCTGCATGCTTACTGCAGTCACCTACATTCTTTTAAAATTGGAATAAGCAACATGAAAGAAAAACAAACTAAAACACCATAGGAAAAGGAAAATAAGATATCTAAAGTTTGCTGCATTGGAGCACTAAAAACTTTCTATTGATTTAAGAAAATAAAAATATCAAATTTAGACCGTAAGGAATTTGAGCTCTAAATTTGCTGCATCAAAATATAATTTGAGAAAAGAATATATAGATCAAATTTTAAATATATATAAAAAAACAAATGTCTTCACTCTAATTGGTTCAAAGAAACACAAGGAATAAACAAACTCATACAACAAGGTTTCATCTCCTCAATTGAATTGCAAGCATATAATGTAACATAAGACACCAAATGCAGGATGTAATAAATTAAGCATCTTGATATGCTGACAAATAAACCCCATGTATTGTTATATTGGCAGAGTGCCTAAAATTTATTAATTTATTTGGCATCAGAACTAGTAAACTAGACAATGAACCAACAATCTAACATATGCCCAAAAACATTCATCTACAAAAAAAGTTATATTGCAGACCTGAACAATGAATAGTGGCTAGATGTTGTCAGCTTTTTCTTAATTAAAATAGCTACTGCCAACATATGGCTCCAAAGTGGATGTAAGGTTAAGTAAGGTTTTAGACTAAGAGTATTATTCAAAAGCCATTTGAGCTTAACCCCCAAACATTGTGACAATCAACGTTCAAGACAGTATTTAATTAGATCGCGAACTTGTCACCACTATATGACCAATCTTACATTGTATGCAATGTGGAGAGCAAGGCACAGAATTTCCAACATACCATCATCAATGCATTAGCTATTCCAATAAATACTGATATGGCATACATGAATACACTCATGCTTCCAGGTAAGAGTAGGATCCCTACACCACAAAACATCCAAAGAATTCCTCCAGCAGTATGATAAGCCTTCAAGCGTTGGCCATTCCATGCAACCTCCTATAAGGTGAAAACCTAGTGCTTGAGTATTAAAAAGTTATATAAAGCTTTTCAAAGACAAAACCAAGTTTTACAGGGCAGACCTGAAGAAGAACAGATACTATGAAGCTGCAAATATAGATAATGGCAGGAGCCTAACCGATCAATAAGACAAGATATTAAGCTTAGCATTCATCTCCAAAACAAATTTAAGACTGGAAATTAATCTAAAGACAACAAGTTCTGTTCACATACCAAAGCTTTGGCAGACTGGGCCATCCCCAAATCATTAATTACATAGAATGCAAGATATGCCTTCACACAAAAAAAAAAATTCTTTAAGTTTAAAACCTGTAATATTAGATTTCTTGTCTTCAGCATTCAAAATAGCAAAAGTTATACTAAGCACCATAAATCAAAGAAAAAAAATGCTTACTTGTGAAACATTGAGTACTAGTCTTGTAAGCACATAAACAAGAGCAACTTGATAGTAAAGAATTTTCAGGAACCAGTAAGTCCATGAAATCCTTGCATGAATATTTGCACATATACCTGCCTTTGATCTGCATAAAAATACGAAAATTCTTACCGTAAGGAACAACGTACAATAGCCTAACATGCAAAACAAGCTGGGGAATTCTGTTTCAAGATACAGTGCACCTTGGTTCTTTTGTTCCAAAAAGAAATATGCCCACAAAGCAGCATCCAATGAATATTGATAAGTATGCAATCCAACGGTACTGCTCAGTGGAGGCCAATATAATGATTATGTGAGAATAAAAAATCCTAACATAAGGATCACATCTTCTGTAAAAACCATACCTGATTTTCAATATCTGCACGTGTTTTTGCTGTGCTGATACCAAATACTATTAAAGCAACTCCATATAGGCTGAGATTTGCAACCTAGATTAACAGGAAATTTAACATCACCCATGATACTCACAAGCCATGCATCAAATCAATAAGCGAGAGAACCGACCATTGTAAAGGCATTCCGACAGCTTGCCAGCACTACTCTGCTTGTTGAATTGAAAGTGATGCAATTCACCATGGACCTGCGATAGAAAAATTATGACACAGGGCAAAAGCAATTTAATTCCAAGATTAACGGGAAAATATGAATGATATCCTGTCACAACAATCCATTAAAGCACTTAATAATAATTTAGAGAAAAAAAAATAACTTCATCCAATCCAATCATTATTTTTTGGAAAGTGTGAATTTTTGCAGTAAGTTCCTGCACTTTGCTAAAGCTTTTGCTTTTCTATCTGACATTAAAACTATGTTTTCTGCCCCATTGTTCTGCTTATAATAATTAAATATCATATCATGCACATTTCAACAGGAAGATAAATTAAGCTATAGAAACATTACATGTGTGAAACCTGAGTAGCAGCCCAGCCAACATTAAATATTGCAGCAAATGTACTGTATGAAACAGTCTCTACCATTGATGAAAAACTAGCAAGGGTTTTACAAGGTATACAACCACCAAAAACGGACGAAAATGAAAAAGCAACCAAGAGAGATCCTGCACCATGCCATATTTTGAAATGTCCAAACCTGTCTATCTATCAAGCAAATAGCAAATAATTATTGCCACAAATCATTAGGATAAAAAGAAAGGAGCATAAATTGAAAATTCTTGCTCAATATTAGAATTATAGTGCTAATTTCAATCACGCTGCACATCAAAACAAGCACATAAAGCATGCATCATGACAAGTATTAAAACAAAGATTTGACATAAATTACCAGTTCACCCACAAATATGGTGGCTAAACCATCAGCTATCTGGCCGGACAGCATCACAGTAGCAGCATCCCTACAAAAGAAAATACCCGGAACCTTAGATTTATTAAAAAAAAAAAATACATGAATAATAAAAAATACAGGGTTTAGGGTTTACAGTATGACATCACTAATCTTGTACTACGATACTATACAAGAGATTACATATATAATAAAATATTTTAAAAGCAATCTACATTAAAATCATAAATGTTTTAATGCAATAAACAACAATAATAAGTTCAAGGCAAAAAGGTTGAACGTGGTAGATAAATTTTTATCACATGGCCAAGATGAGTATTGTAAATGACAACCCCTGAGATTACACCAAAGAAGGTTCAAATTAAGGTATTGGGTAGCAATTGTGCGATGATAGGTGGGGAGGAGCCCACACCTCCTACACAACTGCCATCCTTATTCATGGTGACAGTATATGGGCATATACCTTTCCAACATAAGACCAAAGAATTCTAAGTCATTCTGCATGTGGTTCCATCTCTATTGTTGTTGTATACAAAACACTTCAATCATCATAAAATTCAGGACAGTGGGGTCAACATAAACCTTCCTAATCTAAAACTTACATTCTATCTTCCGGTGCACAAAAATCCAAGTCCTATAGTTCATTCCTACCAAAATGTGTATATTTGTGAACATGCATTTAATAATGCTTTCAGATCCTCAATTCTGCATCAACATGGACACGCTTACTGTTGCAAATTGGAGTTTTAAGAGCTTATGCCTTTTTTCCCTCCACATGCTATGAGTTTTCAGACAGGATTAATGAAAGGTTGAGAATGGAAGCATAAATAGAACCTAAATTCCTTTGAAAGACTTATACATATTTGAAACAACAGCCAACAAAACTCACTTTCTGTAAACAATGAAAGGCAGGGATGTTATCTACATTACTACATAAGAGTTTACTAATACCAAATTCTGCATGAGATAGGCTAAACAATATGCATTCTCAAGATCATTTTTTATTCATAGCCATTAAGATAAACACACAAGTTAGAAGTCACAATCAGATTAAAGAGGAAAAATATATTGCAAATCTATCATGAAGACGTGAACTTGAGTAGTAAGACATATACCTAGAGGAGAGCCCAATGTCTGTTAAGAACAGTAAGAGATAAGTAAACCAGCATGCAGAAGTGATGTCATTTAGCATGTGACCCACACCATAATAGAAAATAGACCGTCTTCCAACAGGCTTAGAGAATGAATCATCTTCAATACTGTTACTCATTACAGTCAAGAAGATGATGTAAAACTCTTTCAAATGTGCAAAGAAATGTAGTTCCCGATCAATCTAAACCTACAAGGAAAAAGCATTCATGGTTGAGAGCCAAACAAGGAATGCATTTCTGTTTGAACCGAAAAATTGTACCATGATATACTGATTTGTATATGAAGAACAGTGAAAAAGCAGGCAAATTTTTTAATGTTCTCTTCTAAAAGTGATACAATGCATCCAAGATTCAGTATGAGACCTAGAGATCTTCATGTTTAGCCTGTAGTGCACAGACAAAAGGCTGAAAGCTTTATAATGTAGTGAATTTCTAAATAACATATGGTACAAGCACAGAGCAGTTACTTATAAACTAATGCAGAACAAACAGAAGTCAATTGAAGAATTTAGTCTTTAGGACTTTATTAATCACTTCGTTTTCCACGGTCTTTTACCAAATCATTGAATTCTAGTTCGTTTTCCACTGTAGCATATACTTAATCCTGTAACCATTGAATACTGATTCATTATTCCAGCCATCAAGTGTTTTCTTTTCTTTCGGAAAAATGAGATTTAAGTTATAGTAAGGAGGCAAGCATGCTCCAAATAAAACAAACTGCAAAAAAGCAGTGGACAAACTTCACATACACCACGAAGCAAAAACCTAGGCAAACATGTGATCTTCCAAATCCCAGTTCTAACAGAGGGTTGGGTTAATCAGATCCCCTGCTATATTTTCTATACCATGAAGCCTGCTATGAACCACCTCCAAAATGCAACTTAGAGTGGCAATATCAGTTCTAGACTTTTTAGCGTGAATCCTTTTTTTCCTCCACAAACAAATAAAGCATGACATTCCAAACATTCTAAGAACAACAGAAACAAACCCTTCCTCTTAAGCTTCTGTTTTCCCCATTGAAACCCACTGCACCAGTCCCCCAGCCATCAGTTTGAAATACACCTTTTATCGAACAAGTCACATAAAGTACCATGAATCAATTACGGTTTCTCATAATAAAAGACTTGTGATCCAAAGAGTAATAACGACTTGCAGACAAGCTTTCATTGAAAATTAATAATATGTGTGTGTGAAATTACAAGCAATATTTATCAGATAGAAGGTGATAATCGTTGTTTGCAAAGCCAAAGAGGGAGGAAAAGAATACATAAAATCAGCAGTAACTTTACCCACGGAAGCAAAAGCAGAAGAAAGAAAGAAAGGAGCCGACGTCCAAGTTCTAACATATAACAACCAATCAAACAAAGAGAAGCAAGCAGACAAAGAACTAAAAAAGAATAAAAAATCAGCAACGCCAAGAATCAAAGTGAAAGAGATGCATACAATTGGAGTTGAAGCCAAAGGAGAAGGTTTGCCGATGCGTGTAGCCAAAGGAGAAGGTTTGCCGATGCGTGTAAGAAATTGTCAACCAATTATTCCAAATTAAGATAAATACATACATTTGAAATTAGTTCTATAAAAAATCAAAAATCATAAGAAAATACATATAAATTGTTTATAGAATGTGATACATTTCAGATTGAATAAAAATATTTAATTATTAATTAATAAAATTAATTTTTATATTAATTTTATTTATAAATAATTATGTTTGAATCAATAATTATTATATGATAAATAATTATAACTATTTAAATATAAATAGATTATTATTTATAAAGCTTATGATTATATAGAAAATCATCATCATCTTAATATAAATTTATGTCTATTCATTCATTAAAAATAAATCTTTCAGTATAATCATTTTCATTACTTCTGATTAGAAAGTTTGAAACTTTGTTATATCCTAAAAAACATAATTACATTTAAAAAAGTGTTCTTCACTCTTCAAAATCAAAACTTTTTTTATTATTTCTCTTCTCTTATTCATTTTTTATAATAGTTTAATGGTAATTATGAGAAATTTATATTTCGTACAAATAAGATACAAGAAAAAAATTTGTATGATTCAAAGATCAATATTATAAGAGACTCAAGGTGTCAAAAGATTAATATTTTTATGGACAAAAATGTTAATTTTCATAAAGATCTTTAGTAGAGATATATATTTTTTTTTTTGAATAATTATTGGTAAAAAGATTGATTGAATGAGATCAACACGTTAATAATTAATTTCATTAGTGTATAAAATCAAAACACAGTATGTAAAATATTGATTACATTGTATAAGTTTATGCATATACTAAAATTGGCTCCATAATTGGGTTTAATGAATTGTATTATATCTATTTGAAAAATCGATACTTATAAAAACTAAAATAGGAAATAGCCTGAAAATATAAAAGAGAAAAACATGAATTAATTTACAACCAAAAGAATTATCACTTACTATCAAGTAATGAATTAAATTGGGTTCTAATGAAATTACTGATTGTTTAATTGTCATGTGTTGGTTATATATAGAATAAGCAAATTGTCCCATGGTTTCTCTGAAAAACAATTGAAAATGAGTAAAAGAATTTACCATAAAAAATTAGATGTAAGTGAAGAATATATATAGAAAATAAGATCTGGTTACAATATTAGTTTTATTTTTAAATCATGACATCAAAATTGAGATAATAAGTTAAGCCAAGCCATTTGTATAGTTCTATCTTTGTTGGTCGTTTATAAATCAAAGGTTAATATTGTTGGGAAATCAACACGCACATACAGTACCCACGAATAAAATAGCAAGCTCAAATTAAAAATAAAAACACATAAATATATTTGTTTCAGCCTAACTCAAAATAACCAACTTCAAACCCAATCCACTAACAAATAAATCTTTATAATTGTGAGACTTTTAGAATGAAAAAAGTCACCAAAAACTCCTTACTCAAAACTTAATCCAAAATGCAATTACACCCTTTGATAGCCTACTCACTTAGTTATTCTCTTAGTGTCTAACTATCTGGGATTACCAAACCAAACTAAAACATCTTATTTATAAGGGTGAAGCCCTTCATACCTTTACAAAACTTTCGATGTGGGATACAGGATAAACTTAAAACTTTTATAACTTTCAATGTGGGATTATGAGATTCACGACAAATCCTAACAAATCCTCTATTGACTTAAATCTCCAAACACTTCAATAGTATTTGCAAAGTTAACATACTTACCTTTCTTCTTTTCTTTCATCATAAGGATCCCAGCAACCAAACCTCCATCAAGCATGTACAAGTGATTTTTGACCCTATTCCCTTGTGGAATCACACTACCATTCTTGTACACTTTCAACCAATCATTACTACCATAATATGTGTACTCCCGATAAGCTAACTCATCTAAAGCAATCAAATTATAGCTACAACTCGATACATACCTTACATGATTAAGTGTCCTAACAACACCATTGTAAGATCTAAGCCGAACACTCCCAATGCTTTGAATCTGGACATTTTCAATGTTAGCAACCACAATATCCTCATACTTCTCATTCTTATCCAATTCCACAAAACAACTCCTATCAGTGCAAACATGAACTATAGCAGTTGAATCCAAAGCTCAACCTTTATCATCTTTTAAAGTTTGAATTTTATCTATACAAGTCATCAAAACGACATCATCATCATTAGACACAATAGCAGCAATATCACTCTGTTTTTCATCTGATTTTTTTTTATCATTCATCTTTTTAAAAGCAATCATATCCCTTCTCAGCTTCTTACAGAGCACTTGGATATGTCCTTTTCACCACAATAATAACATTTTATGTCACATAATCTCTGTCTCTTGACTTGAATCTCCTTTTTGATCTATCAATCCTCTTTTCAGTCCTCCTTTTATTAAAACCCTCTATAGCTAGTGTATTCTCGATAGGTGATGAGTTTTGTGTTTCCATAAACCTTTCGTTCCCATGCAACAAAGCAATTATATCATCCAACTTTAAAGTAAACCTACCCACCAATAAAGTCTGAACTAAAGGCTTATAAGACTTAGGTAAAGATGATAGCAAAATTAAAGCCTTCTTTTTATCTTTTAACTTACCAACAAAAATCGCCAGCAATTAAGAAATCGAACCTATTAAACTCATTCAGGTGATTATGAAGACTCGTACCTTCTTTCATCTTCAATAAATACAGATCCATCTTCAAACATAATTTGTTAATTAACAATTTTGATGCATAAATACCCTCAAACTTATCTCATAAACTCTTCAGAGTACTTTCAATCAACACACTATAATTTATGTCTAGAGCTGGTGTCAATCTAATAGTACTAACAACTTTCTTTTGAATTATATTTCAATTATCGTTAGACATTCCCTCAGACTTACTACTCTCTAATGCCTGATCCAACTCTTGTTGTACTAATAAATCTTAAATCATACTTTGCTATAACATGAAATTACTCTTTTCATCAAATAACAAAATCTCAAACTTAGGCATAGGCATATTAGACATACCTTCTTGAGACATCTTGAAACACTTACTTTATGATCTCTTGGGCCTGTCTTTTCTTCTTTCCACGAACCTTGCTCTGATACCACTTGTTGAAAATCACCATAACTCTGATACCACTTGTTGAAAAATTAACATGCACATGCAATAGCCACGAACAAAATAGCAAGCTCAATTTAAGAATAAAAACATAAAAATATATTTGTTTAGACCCAACTCAAAATGGCCTACTCCAAACTCAATCCACTAACAAATAAATCTTTACAACTGTGAGACTTTTAGAATGAGAAAAGTCACCAAAAACTCTTTACTCAAAACTTAACCCAAAACTCAATTACACCATTTAATAGCCTACTCACTTAGCTTTTCTCTTGGTGTCTAACTATCTGGGATTACCAAACTAAAACCAAAACATCTTATTTATAAGGGTAAAACTACTTATCTTTACTAAACTCTCGAAGTGAGATACAAGACAAACTCAAAACTCTTATAACTTTCGATGTGAGATTCAAGGCAAATCCCAATAGATATATATTTTTTAAAAATTTATAATTGGTTCAAATTTTAGCTAGTGTTAAATTTTCATGAAAATCAATTAAAATTAAATTGATATATGTGAATAATTATTATTAATTTATGGTGTTTCATTAATTAATTGGTGGATAATAAACAAAATAATTGTTATTATCATAAACATCGACAATGTGACATGTATTTTGCCTGCTGAGTATATTACACTAGAAGTAATTTTACAAAATAAAATTTTATTGTGAACAATCACAAAGAAAAAGTTTAAGGTATAATTCAATTTGTGTTTGATGGCCAAAACAAGTAAGATAAATAAACTAAAGAATTGGAATATAATTGTTCCTGTTGTATAACTATGATTGATGAAATTGGCTTACAAAAGGTAGGAGATTAAAGAGATGCTTGTTTAAAAAGAAAATATCAAACTATTATAACTATAAGGTTTATAAAGGTCTGAGTTTGAAATATTATTCCTACTAATGATAGCATTTATAAATTGTTTGAATTTATAATATAATAAGTTAATGTAAGTTTATTATATGCAATGAATATATACTTTCATGAAGAATTGTTGTCGGTGGTAATGTAAAATACATTAAGTATGTATATCTATAGCATCCATATATTTTGTAAATTTTATGTTAGTATCAATATCTAAAATTTGGTCAACAATTAAGGCTAATCAAATGATTAATTAAAAGAAAAGGCATATCTTTAAAAATATTGAAGCATTTGTCGGTTACTAGCATTTTGAATAATGCTCATCAATGTCTAAATTAGTTGTGTTTATAAATTAGAAAAGAACATGCAAATTCAATGTTCTAAAGACATCGCTATATGCATATGTTTAATTCCATTTTGTGATGGCATGGAGAACATTGGTACAATTTGCTATATATTATGAAAATGAAATGAATGGGATGGATTTTTTTTTCTTATATGTTAAGAAAGATATGGACTACGGAGATAAAATGCCATCATCAAATTAATATATTATTGGTTAAAGACAATGAAGACATTTTTGCTTTTTATACCTGAAAAAATTACTTTTTGTAGGTTGTTAAAATGAAAAGTAAACAAGTTTTCGAGGTTTTCAATAGTTTCATGACAATGGCAAGAATGTGGCTAGTATACACCAAATTAACATATGGGCTTAGATAATAATATTGGTTTGTGAAAATCGTAAGCCTTGAAGTTAGCCAATCAATGATTTAACAAATGCAAATTCATCATGAGTTTTTGCATGAAATATGAGTAGAACTCATATTATAATTATTGTTTATGTTATTTTATAAAAATGATTCTTTGGATTCATGTTTCATGACTTTTGTTGACATAGTGATATA